AAATTAGCAAGGAAACACAAACTTTAGATGATAAAATGGACTGGTTAGACCTAATTGATATCTATAGGACATTTCACCCCAAAACAATGAATTTCACCTTTTTCTCAAGGGCACATGGAACCTTCTCCAGGATAGATGACATCCTGGGCCATAAATCTAGCCTTGGTAAATTTAAAAAAAAAAATTGAAATTGTTCCAAGCATCTTTTATGATCACAATGCAGTAAGATTAGATGTCAATTACAGGGAAAAAAAACTATTAAAAATTCCAACATATGGAGGCTAAAAAACATGCTTCTGAATACCAACAAATCACAGGATAAATCAAAAAAGAAATCAAAATATGCACAGAGATGAATGAAAATGAAAACACAACAACCCAAGACCTATGGGACACTGTAAAATCACTGCTAAGGGGAAGGTTCATAGCAATACAGGCTTACTTCAAGAAACAAGAAAAAAGTCAAATAAATAACCTAACTCTACACCTAAAGCAACTAAAAAAGGAAGAAATGAAGAACTCCAGGGCTAGTAGAAGGAAAGAAATTATAAAAATTAGGGCAGAAATAAATGTAAAATAAACAAAAGCGACCATAACAAAAATCAACAAAGCTAAAAGCTGGTTCTTTGAGAAGATATAAAATTGACAAACCATTAGCCACTCATTAAGAAACAAAAGGAGAAGAATCAAATCAACAAAATTAGAAATGAAAATGGAGAAATCACAACAGACAATACAGAAATACAAAGGATCATAAGAGACTACTATCGGCAACTATATGCCAATAAAATGGACAATTTGGAAGAAATGGACAAATTCTTAGAAAAGCATAACTTTCCAAAACTGAACCAGGAAGAAATAGAAAATCTTAACAGACCCATCACAAACACGAAAATCAAAACTGTAAACAGAAATCTTCCACCAAACAAAAGCCCAGGACCAGATGGCTTCACAGCTGAATTCTACCAAAAATTTAGAGAAAAGCTAACACCTATCCTCCTCAAACTCTTCCAGAATATTGCAGAGGAAGGTAAGCTTCCAAACTTTCTATGAGGCCACCATCACCCTAATACCAAAACCAGACAAAGATGCCACAAAAAAAGAAAACTACAGGCCAATATCACTGATGAACATAGATGCGAAAATCCTTAACAAAATCCTAGCAAACAGAATCCAACAACATATTAAAAAGATCATACATCATGACCAAGTGGGCTTTATCCCAGGGATGCAAGGATTCTTTAATATCTGCAAATCAATCAATGTAATACACCACATTAACAAATTGAAAGATAAAAAGCACATGATTATCTCAATAGATGCAGAGAAAGCCTTTGACAAAATTCAACATCCATTTATGATAAAAGCCCTCCAGAAAGCAGGAATAGAAGAAACATACCTCAACATAATAAAAGCTATATACGACAAACCCACAGCAAGCATTATCCTCAATGGTGAAAAATTGAAAGCATTTCCCTTAAAGTTAGGAAAAAGACAAGGGTGCCCACTCTCACCACTACTATTCAACATAGTTTTGGAAGTTTTAACCACAACAATCAGAGAAGAAAAGGAAATAAAAGGAATCCAGATTGGAAAAGAAGAAGTAAAACTCAGTTTGCAGATGACATGATCCTCTACATAGAAAACCCTAAAGACTCCACCAGAAAATTAATCAATGAATTAATAGAGCTAATCAATGAATATAGTAAAGTTGCAGGATATAAAATTAACACACAGAAATCCCTTGCATTCCTATACACTAACAATGAGAAAACAGAAAGAGAAATTAAGGAAACAATCCCATTCACCATTGCAATGAAAAGAATAAAATACTTAGGAATAAATCTACCTAAAGAAACAAAAGACCTATATATAGAAAACTATAAAACACTGATGAAAGAAGTCAAACAGACACAAATAGATGGAGAAATAGACCTTGTTCATGGATTGAAAGAATCAATATAGTGAAAATGAGTATACTATGCAAAGCAATCTATAGATTCAATGCAATACCTATCAAGCTACCAATGGTATTCTTCACAGAACTAGAACAAATAATTTCACAATCTGTATGGAAATACAAAAAATCTCAAATAGCCAAAGCAATCTTGAGAAAGAAGAATGGACCTGGAGGAATCAACCTGCCTGACTTCAGGATATACTACAAAGTTGCAGTCATCAAGACAGTATGGTACTGGCACAAGGACAGAAATATAGATCAGTGGAACAAAATAGAAAGCCCAGAGATAAATCCACGAACCTATGGACACCTTATCTTTGACAAAGGAGGCAAGAATATACAGTGGGAAAAAGGCAATCTCTTTAACAAGTGGTGCTGGGGAAGCTGGTCTACCATTTGTAAAAGAATGAAACTAGAACACTTTCTAACACCATACACAAAAATAAATTCAAAATGGATTAAAGATCTAAATGTAAGACCAGAAACTATAAAACTCCTAGAGGAAAACATAAATACTCTCTGACATAAATCACAGCAGGATCCTCTATGACCCACCTCCCAGAGTAATGGAAATAAAAGCAAAAATAAACAAATGGGACCTAATTAAACTTAAAAGCTTCTGCACAACAAAGGAAACTATAAGCAAGGTGAAAAGACAACCTTCAGAATGGGAGAAAATAATAGCAAACAAAGCAACTGACAAAGAATTAATCTCAAAAATATACAAGCAACTGCTGCAGCTCAATTCCAGAAAAATAAATGACCAAATCAAGAAATGGGCCAAAGAACTAAACAGACATTTCTCCAAGGAAGACATACAGATGGCTAACAAACTCATGAAAAGATGCTCAACTCACTCATTATCAGAGAAATGCAAATCAAAACCTCAATGAGGTACCATCTCACACCAGTCAGAATGGCTGCTATCCAAAAGTCTACAAACAATAAATGCTGGAGAGGGTATGGAGAAAAGGGAACACTCTTAGACTGTTGGTGGGAATGTAAGCTAGTACAGCCACTATGGAGAACAGTGTGGAGATTCCTTAAAAAACTGGAAATAGAACTGCCATATGATCCAGCAATCCCACTACTGGGCATACACACCAAGGAAACCAGAATTGAAAGAGACACGTGTATCCCAATGTTCATCGCAGCACTGTTTATAATAGCCAGGGCACGGAAGCAACCTAGATGTCCATTGGCAGATGAATGGGTAAGGAAGCTGTGGTACATATACACAATGGAATATTACTAAGCCATTAAAAAGAATACATTTGAATCCATTCTAATAAGGTGGATGAAACTGGAGCCTATTATACAGAGTAAAGTAAGTCAGAATGAAAAACATCAATACAGCATACTAACGCATATATATATGGGATTTAGAAAGATGGTAACGATGACCCTATATGCGAGACAGCAAAAGAGACACAGATGTATAGAACAGTCTTTTGGACTCTGTTGGAGAAGGAGAGGATGGGATGATTTGAGAGAATAGCATTGAAACATGTATATTATCATATGTGAAACAGATCGCCAGTCCAGGTTCAATGCATGAGACAAGGTGCTCAGGCCTGATGCACTGGGATGACCCCGAGGGATGGGATGGGGAGGGAGGTGGGAGGAGGGTTCAGGATGGGGAACACATGTACACCCATGGCTGTTTCATGTCAATGTATGGCAAAACTCACTACAATATTGTAAAGTAATTAACCTCCAGTTAAAATAAATAAATTTTAAAAAAAGAAGAAAGAAGGAAAAAGCAGACAGAAGACCTAAACAGACATTTATCCAAAAAAGACATACAGATGGTTAGCTAACAGACACATGAAAAGATGCTCAATATCTCTACTTATTATAGAAATGAAAATCAACAATGAAATATCACCTCACACCTGTCAGAATGGCCATTATAAGAAACGTACAAACAATAAATGCTGGAGAGAGTGTGGATAAAAGGGAACTCTCTTGCCCTGTTGGTGGGAACGTAAATTTATATAGCCACTATGGAGAACTAAAGGAGATTCCTTTAAAAATTAGGAATAAAAATATCATAAGACTGAACAACCCACTACTGGGCATATAACCTGAGGTAAACATAATCAAAAAAGACACATGGACTCCAATGTATATTGTACCACTATTTACAATAGCCAGGACATGGAAGCAACCTAGATGTCCACTGACAGATGAGTGGATAAGGAAGTTATGGTACATATATACAATAGAATATTACTCAGACATAAAAAGGGATGCCTTGAGTCAGTTCTAGTGAGGTGGATGAAACTAGAGCCTATTATACAGAGTGAAGTAAGTGAGAGAGAAAAATGAATATTGTATATTAATGCGTATACACAGAATCTAGAGAAATGGTACTGGTAACACATTTGCAGACCAGAAAAGGAGATGCAGACATAAAAACAGACTTGGGGGCACAGTGGGAGGAGAAGGTGAGATGAATTTAGAGAGTATCACTGAAGCATATACATTACCAGATGTGAAATAGATAGCCATTGGGAATTTGCTTTATGATGCTCGGAACTCAAATCTGATGTTCTGTGACAACTAGAGAGATGGGATGGGGTGGGAGGTGGGAGGGAGGTTCAAGAGGAGGGGACTCATGTATACCTAAGGCTGATTCATGTTGATGTATAGCAGAAACTGAAACAATATTGTAAAGCAATTATCCTCCAATTAAAAAAATAAAGTAATAAAATAAAATTGCAAGAAAAAATAACAATAGGAACAACAACAAAGCCTAAAGTTTGTTTCTCTTTTAGTAAGTGCCAGTGTTCTAAGCATTTTAAAATATTAACTCATTCAATAATCACAATAACTTCAAGAAGTAGCTTACTATTATTGACATTGTAGAGCTGAGAGCAATACAGAGATAAAGTTACTTATTCAAAAACCAAAATGTAGCAAATAACAGAGCCTGGATTTGAATCCAAATAATGTTTATTATAGCTCCTATGTCCTTAACATTTTATGTCTTGTTATCATGATTGTATAGCGATTAACAACGTCATATCTTTCTCAGGAAGCATGAAGAATTTACCAAGAAGACAGACGATGGAGAAAGAACAGAAATGTGAGAATAACCAAGGATTCTGCAGAAAGAAATGCCAAGACCAAGAAGTTGAACTGCGCTACTGTTTAAGTGGCAAAATGTGCTGTATAAGTACATATTCAACCCTAATTACTTATCTAGAAAAGGAAACTATTCACATAAGACATTTAGGTACCACCTTAAGTGAACATGTTTACTGAAGATTATCAACTTTGTCCCTTTTGAAAACCTTCCTGTCAAAATGTCAAATTTTTTTCATTATAAAATTTCATCCCAGCCTTCTCTGTCTGTCTTTTATCCTATGAAGATTCATGATTCGAGGAGGAAAGCTGGGTTGTAATCATAGAATTTGGTGAAATGCTCCAGTCAAAAAAGCAAAGGAAATGAGTGATAGTTCAGTAGATGTAGAGTACAGAGGATGGGAGATTATATCTCGCTTGCTTACCACAGAGTGTGAAAAAGGCATGAGCAAACACATCACGAAATCGGGTATCTAGATAGTCACTAAAAAGGGTGTCAATACTCATTAACCATCAAATCAATTAAACCGTCAGTGACATGTTACTTAGCCTACACCAAATGGTTGACCATGATAGCTTCATATGTTGTTAAGGATGTGGAGGAACTGGAACATTTGTATGCTGCTGGTAGGTAAGTTGCTCAGTCGCGTCTGACTCTTTGCAACCCCATGGACTGTAGCCTGCCAGGCTTCTCTGTCCATAGGGATTCTCCAGGCAAGAATACCAGAGGTTGCCATGCCCTCCTTTAGGGGATCTTCCCAACCCAAGGATCAAACCTGGATCTCCCGCTTTACAGGCGGATTCTTTACCATCTGAGTCACCAGGGAAGCTGGTAGGTATATAAATGAAAAATTCAACATATGCATTTCATATGCTTCACCATATACAGATACATAACAGAAAGAAGTACAAATGTGACCCAAAGGCATGTATAAGAATGTTCACAGAAGCATCATCTTAGCTGTAAAGTACATTAAGAAGAGAACAAATACACTACATTGCAGTGACAACTAATAGACTTGATTCTGCACACAATAATGTGGATCAATCTTGATAATACAATGATGAGTAAAGAAAACTATAATTTCCTTTTATATAGAGTTTAAAAATAGAAAAACAGTTTTATGATATCAGAAATCAGGGTAGTGCTAACTCTGCAAAGGAAAATGAAGTATTTACATGTTAGCAGTTTTATTTCTTGACCTGTGTTTTTGTTACATGGACTTGTTACTTTTGTGATAATTCATTAGACTATATGCTATACTTAGGACTTTTGTACTCTTTTTTTTTTTGCACTCTTTTATAGATATATTGCACTTCAATTAAAATGATTTTTAAAAGATTCAAGAAGGACATCTCAGGTGGTCCAATGGTTAAGACTCTATGCTCCCAATGCAGGGGAATGCAGGTTCAATCCCTGGTTGGAGAACCAGGATCCCACGTGCCATGTGATGCAGCCAAAAAATAAAAATAAAAAATAGCCAAGAGACTTAAGGTTATGGCCAGAATTCTCTGCATGACTATTCGTATCATGCTGACTTCCTATTCTTATGGCTCTATTCTTTAAGGGTATAGTTTTTCTTCTGAAACTTCTCAGTATACAAGTTAGTTACACATCTGTCTAAGGGAGGAAGGCTTTATCCTACATCTTCTCAGTTAAGCCAAAGAAATAAACTTTGAAACTTCAATGTGTTAATATATCAAATATTTACCTCCCCAAAATTAAGGCCCCAAAGTGGAAGGCCTACAAATTCTTTCCCTCCTAGCAGTCATGCTTTTACAATGGGATATTGCATATCCTCTTATTTGGAGGCACCTACCAGACTGTGGTCTTGGCCAAGGGACTTATTGAGGCCAATGGGATATTAACAAAAACAATGCAAGCATAGGTTTGAAAAGTTCTTGTGTACCGAGTCTCAAGTTATTGCTGTACCCAAGAACCTGAAAGCACTCAATAGAAGAATTCAAACAAATTTGATAAATTATCATCACAGTTTTTTAAGTTATATAAAACATGGTTTGTTTTAGTTGTTTGAACCTATTTATAATAACTGCATGGAAATCCTTCTTTGCTAAGTCCAATATTTTGCTTACTGTCTTATTTTTCTATGGATGCTTACAATAAACTTAGTAACTTACGGCAATATAAATTATTTTTTTTACAGTTACATTTTTTAGAAGTTCACAATGAATCCTACCGGGGTGAAATCAAAGTTTTGTCAGGGCTGAATTTCTTACTGGAACCCCTAAGAAATGCTGTTTCCTTGCCCTTTCCATCTTTTAGAAGCTTTCTACTTTCCTTGTCTTTATTGAATCTTAAAGGCATTAACAGTGAATCTTATCATATACTATTCTAAATTCTTATTCTGCCTTCCACTTCCATGTTAAAGAACACATGACTATATCAGTCCCCCACTCCAGATAAACTAGGATTGGTTTCTTATTTTAAGATTGACTTATTATCAGTCCTAGTTCCATCTTAACTTTATTTCTATTTTTCTATGCCATGTAACATATCCACAGTTTATGTGGATTAAGCCACAGACATCTCTGGGAGGGCATTTTCCTGCCTACTAAAGCCCACATTCTAATAATCCCCAAAGATTTCATCTCACATGGGAAATAATTGAATTCCATATCAACCTCTTCCAAAATGTCAGCCCAATAAAGAATCAACAAAAGTTCACAAGTCTCATTACATACATGATCTAAATAATGTATCATTGAGGCTCTGGGTATAAGACATCCTAGGGTGCAATTCTTCTTCACCTATAAACCCATAAAACTTAAGAAAGAATTACCTACTCCCCAGATACAGTGATGAGGCAGGCACAAGATCACATTTATAAACATTCCAGTTCAAAGAAGAAGAAAATAAGAGCAAAAAAAGGAGTCAACGATCCCAACCAGTTTTGAAGTCTTGCTGGGAAATCCATTTGTTTCAGTTCCTGAAACTGAATGTATCTTCAGGGTTTCAGCTCCCCAGAATACTTGACATTGCCAGGGTCCCTGTGATCCAAGCAGCCACGCCCCCTCTACACTCAATCCCCACTGGGGCAGAGCTGCCAGAGCCTAGAAAAAGCCCTAAGAGCACCATTATCTCCTGCTCCCCTGGACACCAGCTCGCCTGCATACCTGGCATGGCTAGGGTCCCCATGATCCAAGCAGCTGTACCACCTCCATACCCAGTCCTCACTGGGGCAGACCCAAGTCCTCCAGCATAGCCTCAGGAGCAAACTCCTGTGGAAGACCCACATGCAGAGGTGGAGATAAAACCACAATTGAATCCCAGGGGCAGTATAGCTAAAGAAGAGGATCAAAAACGTTTCCACCAGCTGTACAAGTTGCAGGTTCAATCCACACGATCAACTACTACTTTGTGTCTATGGAATATATAAAAAGACAATGAGAGTTCCCACAAAAGAAAACATACTAGCTCTCACAGCTGTGGATGTTGGAGGCAAGAACATGCAGTAGTAGGGCCAGATTAGAGTTGAACTGTCCCCACAGCAGGTCCAGAGACCAGTCAAGTATTGGAGGGCATCCTAGGGAGGCGGAGGTGAACTGTGACTCACAGTGAGGGAAAGGATGCTGACAGCTGAGATGTCAAAAAAATTTTATTATTCTTCTTATATTTTTATTTATTCTGTAGTTGGCTGTGGATTTTTTTCTTCTTTTCTTTTTTCCCCCTCTGTTGCTGTGGTTGTTGATTTTATGATTACTATTAACTCTATGCTGTTGAGAACTTTAGAAAAAAATTACACTCTTTATTTCCTTTATATATAAATATTTTGTGTGGTTCCAAGGGTTTTTTCTTCTCTTTTTTTAAAAGCATTTTTTGCTTTGTTTGTTTTTCTTATTGTTCTATTCTTGCAATAGTAACTCTTTAATACATATAAATCTTTGTATATAATTCTATTTAACTTTGCTTTTCTGTTTTTTCTTCTTTTTCTTTCTTCTTTTCACCATGTTTGTTAGTTTGTTTGGGTTTTTTGCTTTGTTCCCCAGTTGGCACTCTGCCTTGGTTTTGTTTTCTGGTTTGTGTTTTAGTTAGTTTTGTTTTTACTTGATCAATATCATTTTCAGTTCCTTTTGCTCACTGGGTAACTCTCTTGTACTTTCTTCTCTTTGGACTGTTTTATGTAAATAATACATATATATTTTTTAGAAAACTTATGAAATTTTGCCTAACTAAAAAATTTATGACATTTTGATTCTACTTGTTTGACTTAGTATGAATAGAATGTTAGATTTCTGATTATTAAAAAAAATATATACAACAAGCATACAAAGATTTACTGTACAGCACAGGGAGCTATATTCAATATCTTGTAATAACCTATAATGGAAAATAATTTCAGAAAATAATATATGTGTATATGTATAACTGAATCACCTTGCTGTTCATCTGAAACAGTATAAGTCAAGTATACTTCAATAAAAGTATATATATTATATATAAATAAAATAAAGAATAAATATATATATTAAGAAAAAAACACACATAGGCTGAAAGTTAAAGGCTAGAAAAGATATTTTATGCAAATGATAATCAAAGATAGTAGAGGTGGCTCTATTTATATTAAAAAAATTAGACTTATAGTAAAAATTAGTCAAACAGACACAAGTCTTCACTACATAATGATAAGGGATAAATTAGTCAAAAAGATATAACGACTATAAATATATAATCACCCAACATTGTATTACACAAATATTATCCCAACTGAAGGTATACAGCAATACAATAATAGTAGAGATCTTAAATACCTCACTTTTTTTGGCCATTAAATATAATTTTATTTTTCTGTAATTCAACACATTTGTTTTGTCCTTCAGTTCTTCCAGAGGGTAAGCTCTTAAACCCAGACAATTTAGGTTCCTCTTGCCTCCCAAGGCTATGCCTAAATTACAACTTGGGTCCATCTGCCCAACCCAGTTCTCTGGGAACAGGCTTTGCTTCTGTGTCTGTGGCCTCTATAGCTCTGATGACTCCGCAAGGCACAACAGTCTCAGACAGGCACTTTATACTTGCGTACTCCTGGTTGTGGTTTTCTGGACACTTCTGCAGTGGGTGTTTCTTTGTCATGATGGCTCTGCCAGGAGGAAAGGCTTTATAAATACCTCACTTTTAATAGTAGATAGATCATCCAGACAGAAAATCAATAAGAAAACTGAATTTTATTAACATGATAGACCAGATGGACCAAATAGAACATTCATTTCAACAACAACAAAATAAATATTCTTTTTTAAAGGATTAATTAATGAATTAATTTAATTTCTGGCTGCACTGAGTTGTCATTGCTATATGTGGGCTTTCTCTAGCTGTAGCAAGTGGGCGCTACACTTCACTGCAGTGTGCAGGCTTCTCGTCGTGGTGGCTTCTCTTACTGCAGAGCACACGGCTTTAGGCATGTGGGCTTCAATAGTTACAGCACTTTGGCTCAGTAGTTGCGGCTTGTGGTTTTTGTGCGCTGTCTCAGTAGTTGTGGCTTTGTTGTTCTGTGGCATGTGGGGTCTTCCCAGACCAGGGATCAAACCGGTGTCCCCTACACTGGCAGGCAGACTCAACCACTGGACCCACCAGGGAAGCCCCAATAAATATTCTTTTAAAAGCATGTGGCATGTTGTTGTACAGCAGAAACCCTTACAACATTGTAAAGCAATTATCCTCCAATTAAAAATTTAAAAATAAGGTTCATGTGGAAATTCCCCATGACATATCAGTCATATGTTGGACCACAAAACAAGGCTCAACAAATTCAAGAAGACAGAGATTATATCAAGTAGCTTTCTTGACAACAATGGAATAAAACTAGAAATAAGTAACAGGAGGAAAACTGGAAAATCCACAAGTAAATAGAAACTAAATACACATTCCTGAACAATCAATGGATCACAAAAGAAACCAAAAAGAAAATTTAAAAGTACCTAAGATAACCAAAAATGGAAACAAAACTTACCCAAATTCTTGGAATGCAGCAAAAACAGTACTAAGAGGAAAATTTATAGCACCAACTACTTAACAGTAAGAAAAAAAAATCTAAAATCAATTATATTCTTTATGGCTTATGGAACTGGGGTAAAAAAAACAAACTAAGCCTAAAGCTAGCAAAAAGAAGGAAATAATAAAGATTATAGCAGAAATAAAAAGAGACTAGCAAGACAATAGAAAGTATTAACAAAATGAAGAGTTGGCTTTTTAAAAAACATAAACAAATAGCAAAGCTTTGGCTAAATTTAACCAAGAGAAAAAAAGAGAGAGAGGAGATATATTACACCATACATAAAGAATCAACTCAAAATTGATCAGTGACTTAATGTAAGACCTGAAACTGTAAAACCCTTAGAAGAAATCATAGTGGAAAGCTATATGAAATACTCTTGCAATAATTTTTTTGGATTTGACTTTAAATGCACAGGCAACTAATGCAAAAATAAACAAGTGTGACTACATCAAACTAAAGAGTTTCTGCATAGCAAAGGAAACCATCAACCAAGTGAAAAGGCAATCTCCAGAATGGGAGAAATATTTGAAAATGATATATTCTTACTAGTAGCTGATATCCAAAATTTGCAAAAAGCTTAAACAACTTAATATAAAAAAACAAGCAAGACAATCAAAAAGTGAACAGAAGACCTAAATAGACATTTCTCCAAAGAAGACATACAGATGACCAATAGGCACACGAGAAGATGCTCAACATCACTAATGATCAGAGAAAAGCAAATCAAAACTACAGGGAAATGTCACCTCATACGTCAGAACAGCCATCATCAAAAAATCTAAAAGTAATAAATGCTGGAGAGGGTATGGAGACAAGGGAATGGTTCTGCACTGTTGGTAGAAATGTAAACTGCTACAACCATTATGGAGAATGTTATGAAGGGTCTTCAAAAAATTAAAAATAGACTTACTGTATGATCCAGCTATTCCACTCCTGGCCTATATCCAGAAAAGATAAAAATTCTAATTCAAAAACATATATGCACCTCAGTGTTCATAGCAACCATATTTACAATAGTGAAGAGTTGGAAGCAACCTAAGTGACCATCAATAGAGGAATGGATAAAGAAGATGTGATATATATATACACACACACACATATTTATATAATGGCATATATATAATAGAATATTATTCAGTCATAAAAAGAATGAAATATTGGTATTTGCAGCAACATGGGTGGTCCTAGAGATTATCATACTAAGTGAAGTAAATCAGATAGAGAAAGACAGATACATGACTTCACTTACATGTGGAATCTATAACATGGCATAAATGAAATTATTTACAAAGTAAAACAGACTCACAGACATTAAAAACAAACTTATGGTTACCAAGAAGAGAGTGTTGAGGAGGGATAAATTAGAAGTTTGGGATTAGTAGATGCACTCTACTATGTATAAAATAAATAACCAACAAGGCCCTACTGTATAGCACAGGGAACTCTATTCAATATCCTGTAATAAACTATAATGCAGAGGATTATGAAAAAGAATGTATACAATACATAAGTGAATCACTTTGCTATATACCAGAAACTAACACAACACTGTAAATAAACTATACTTCAATTTAAAAAATGAGGTGGTGGATGTGTTAATTAACTTGATTATGTAAATATGTATCAAATCATCATGATGTTATCTTAAATATATATAATTTTTACTCATAAAAAAGTAAGTAAATAACAAAATTCTTCTTGAGGGATAAAAGGAATGAATATACATGGCTTAGAGAGGGTAGAAGAACTGCTTAGGTGTTGCTTAGAGAAGCAAAAGTCTGGTTTGCAAAAAGAACCTTCTCAGCACAAGGGGACACCTATGAAAAGGGCAAGAAACAGATCTATTTCCAAGAACACAAGTTGCTCATGAAGTCCATGGGAGGAATTGAAAGGGAAACTACCAAAGTGAGCCGGAGATTACCATAAAGGATGTTTAGAATTGATTCTTGCAATCCCTGTACAGCTTTTGACAGTTTGGGAGGAAAAACAAAAATGTCAGATGTGGGTTTTAGAAATGATTTCCTGGGGCTTCCCTGGTGTTCCAATGGCTAAGATGCCATGCTCAGGTTTGATCCCTGGTTAGGTTCTCTAACTAGAGCCCATATGCTGCAACTAAGACCTGGTGCAGCCAAATTAATTTTTTTTTTTTTAAGAAATGATTCCCTGGCAACTGTATGGAAAGACTGGAGTGAGTCAAAGGCATAGTGGAGACAAAGAGGTCAATAGGATGTAAATGTTATAGCATGTGTTCATTAATCTGATAGGGCTGCCATAACAAAGGACCACAGACTGTGTGGTTTAAGCAACAAAAAATTTATCTTCTCACAATTCTGGAAGCTAAAAGTCTGAGTTAAAGGTATCGGTGGGATCACTTTCTTCTTCTGAAGTCTCTTTCTTTGATTTGTAGGTGTCCTCTCATTGGAGGGACTGATGCTGAAGCTGAAACTCCAACACTTTGGCCACCTGATGCAAAGAACTCACTCATTGGAAAGGACCCTGACTCTGGGAAAGATTGAAGGCAGGAGGAGAAAGGGATCACAGAGGATGAGGTGGTTGGATGGCATCACTGACTCAATGGACATGAGCTTGAGCAAGCTCTGGGAGATGGTGATGGACAGGGAAGCCAGGCATGCTGCAGTCCATGGGGTCGCAAAGAGTCGGACACGACTGAGAGGCTGAACTGAACTGAATCTCCTCTTTGTATCTTTTTGTGGTTTTCCTTCTCTGGTGTGTCTGTTTTCCTAATCTCCTCTTTTTATAAAAATGCCAATCATTTGGATTAGGACTCGGCCTGTGGTGGTTTAGTTGCTAAGTAGTGTCCGACTCTTGCGACCCCAAGGCCATGTAACCTTGCAGGTTCCTCTGTCCATGGGATTCTCCAGGCAAGAATACTGGAGTGGGTTGCCATTTCCTTCGCCAGGGGATCTTCCCTATCCAGGAATCAAACCTGGGTCTCCTGCACTGCAGGCAGATTCTTTACCAACTGAGCTATGAGGGGAGGCCCAGGACTCGGCCTAAGGATCTCATTTTAACTTAATTAGCTCTTTAAATTACCTGTTTATCTTATCTCTAAATGTGGTCCCATTCTGAGTTACTAGGGATTAGGACTTCAACATATGAATTATGAGGGGACAGGATTTGGCCCATGACAACAGCCAAGGAAAAATGACGGCTGAATTAGAATAACAGTGGCAGGGATAGAGAATAGGCACTATGGAGGCAGACTTGGAAGGTCTTTGTGGCTGACATGATGAGTAGGGGTGGGGAGCAGTGAGAAAGAAGGAGATATCTAGGATGTATTTTAGGATTATGGTTTGAGAACTTATGTTGAGAGCCCTTTTTTGTTTCTCAGTCTCTTTTCATGCTTTATGTCTTTGCTCTCTAAGATGCCTCTTTTGAAGTCAGGGTAAAGAATGGATTTTCACCATAATTTAAAGAGTGAAGAAGGCTTTAAGAGATGGAAGGCATATAAAATTTGAAAGACAGTGAAAGTATTAGTCACTCAGTCGTGTCCCACTCTTTGCAACCCTATGAATTGCCACCTGCCAGGCTCCGTTTTCCATGGGATTCTCCAGGCAAGACCACTGGAGTGGGTTGCCATTCCCTTCCCCAGGGGATCTTTCCAACCCAGGGGTCAAACCCAAGTATCTTGCATTGCAGGCAGATTCTTTACCATCTGAGGCACCAGGAGACCTGGGTTCAATTCCTGGGTTGGGAAGATATAATCAAATAAATCCATTTGGGGGATGAACAAAGTGAGTAGTAAGGTGACTTAACACACTTGCATTTCCCCACAACCTTTTCATTTCTTTGGGACTGTGGCTATGGAATCATGTTTAATGTAACTCTCTAAGACTCCTGGGTCTACTTATGGGCATAATTTCTCTTGTCAAAAAATAATAAAAACTCTTAGTTCTAGAACAGGTAGCTTGTATTATCTGCAACCACTGGTGTAACCTGGGTTGGAATTGAAGTGTTTATTGGAATCATTGTGCCTGAGTAATCTGAGATCCAGTCTCTAAGCCACTCCCCAAATATCACAAGCACATCCTTTAAGGTTTGAGATATCAGTGTTATACTATTAGAGCTGGAGAAAATGAGAGAATTGAAGTGAAAGTACTCTGAGAAATGAGTTGAAGGATTAGAAGCTGCCATTATTTGGTGATTGATGTACCTTGTCTTCAGACTGCATTCTCCAGATAATTAATGTCAACAGAGGCTAGGGATAATTTTCAGCTCTAGAACTGATTGGCATTGGCCTCTAAACTAAGACTGCGTACTACCTAGGGACAACTTCCTCATTTACTGCAACTGGAAATTATTCCTATTTGTATCTGGATATACCATTTTGGGGCTTCCCAGGTGGCTCAGTGGTAAAGAACCCGCCTGCCAATGCAGGAGACTAAGGAGACTGTGGTTCAATCTCTGGGTTGGAAAGATCCCCTGAAGTAGGAAATGGCAACTCATTCCAGTATTTTTGCCTGGAGAATCACATGGACAGAGGAGCCTAGTGGTCTACAGTCCATGGGGTTGCAAAGAGTCAGACACAACTGAGCAACTAAGCATGTGGGCTCACATACCATTTAGGGTTGGATTTGTTGCACATTTTAACCACAAAGTGAGTGAAGTGAAAGTTGCTCAGTCATGTCCAACTCTTTGGGACTCCATGGACTATACAGTCCATGGAATTCTCCAGGACAGAATACTGGATTGGCTAGCTTTTCCCTTCTCAAGAGGATCTTCCCAACCCAGGGATTGAACCCAGGTCTTCTGCATTGCAGGCAGATTCTTTTCCAGCTGAGCCACAAGGGAAGCCAAGAATACTGGCGTGGGTATCCTATCCCTTCTCCAGCGGATCCTCCTGACTCAGTAATCGAAGCGGGGTGTCCTGTATTGCAGGCAAATTCTTTACCAACTGAGCCAGCAGGGAAGCCCCTTTAACCACAAGGAGGCTCACAAAGCTCTTCCTTTCATGACACCTTCCATATTAATGAAGTAGATTCTGGGTGGAAAGAGTAAAGTGAAGCTTTTCTTACTGCAGCAAAGATTTTTCCATCTTGAGGAAGCATAATGTCTGAGCTCAGGTATCATGGGTTCAAAGTCTTGCTACTAAACTACTTTTTTGTGCCACTTGGAGCAAGTCACTTAAACTCTCTGTGACTTAGTTTCCTCTTCTGGACAAAGGACACAATACTAATTCTTACTTCTTGGAGCTATTGTTAGGGCAAATTGAGGTTATCAGTGAAGTGTTTAGGACAAGTTCTTGCACACTGTAAGTTCCCAGTAAACTGAGGAATTTTGGCTGGTGTTGTTTAATTAGTTTTCTTTCTTTCTTTCTTCTTCTTTTTTTTTTTTTTTTTTTACTATTTTCCCCTTCCACTTGGTTGGGGCCTGAGTAGTTGTCTCTTTCTCAGAGGGCATTCCAGTCTTTTGACAGCCAAGTGTAATTAGGGGGTTGGAGTAAGGACAAATTCCAAGAGAGAGTCAATGAGACAGAACTTTAGGCTAAACTTTGAGCTAAGGAGGCAAAGGGCTTCCCTGGTGGCTCAGAGAGTAAAGAATCTGCCTGCAGTGCAGGATACCTGGATTTGATCCCTAGGTCGGGAAGATCCCCTGGAAAGGGAAGGTCTAGCCACTCCAATATTCTTTCCTGGAGAATTCCATAGACAGAGGAGACTGGCCAACTACAGTCTGTGGGGTCGCAAAGAGTCAGGCACGACTGAACAACTTTCACAAAGAGGCCAAAGATTTCTGGATGACACTGGCCTATCTCAACAATCCAGGATGAGACATTAGATAGGATTTGTGATTAAGGTGAAATTTGCCTTAACCTGGAACACTTCCACATTCAGAGACCTATAGCACCTGGTCAGAGGCTTAGGAATTCAAGATTCAGAATCTATAAAACTGGTTTACCATGAGAACTGATTTCCAATAATATCCTGTGACAGCCCAGGGAATGTTAGGCTATAGAGAACTAGAATGACAGAAACAAGTGATAGCTAGAATGAGCATATATTTTCTAATGGATCATGTAAGGGCCCAGTCTCCTTAGACACTAAGGATCTAAGGACGATGCAGGTGACCTGGATACCCATCTTACTGACTCATTAAAATGCTGCCAAAATCCTCTTGTCACAAGTCATAAATTCATACTTAGTGGTACTTGCCATAACCCTATGTATTGTCTCTTCTCTTTTGGCAAGTTTTGATGATTTATGCCTTATAGGGATGCAGCAAAGCTTTCTTAACCCACATTTTTCTTTCTTCTTCTCACTTTCTTTGCAATGTTTCCTGCAATTGCCAGTTCCATAATCACACTTTCTGGTCCATCCATCTATCAAGATAAACAAAGAGATGAATAAGCACATACATGGAAAAGTAAAGATTATTATACTAAACACATTGGTAATTGTAGAAATAATGGTTACAATGAACTATTGAAATGCAATGGAACTCTTGGGACTATCATGCTTTAATTGGGCTTTATTTTTATGCTTAGGATATTTCTATCTCTGTCATTTTTCAGTATCATCACCACCAGTTCCTCATTTTTCCCAAATCTAGATATTTGTGCCTTCAATTAACTTTTTTTCTTCTCTCCATTCATTATTCACTCAACAGCAATTTTGTTGAGCACCTATCATGTGCCAGACACCTTTAGGTTCATGTCTTAGACGATGTCTAGAGAAGTACATTGAACACTGAATGATCAGTTTATATGGATGATCAGAAAGCAGATCTTCTAAACTTTACATAGGTCAATAGAACACAGAGTATCGACTCAGCTTCCTCAGCACATTAAGTTCAGTTGAGAGATCATAGTATCTTGTTTCAAATTATGATTACCTCTACTTGTTTTTTCTCCCAAACTCCTCTATTGGGAGATAACTCTGAATTATTTCTTTCTCACTAGAACATTTGGACTGGAAAAAAATTAGGATCTGGATGACTGTACTCACTCGTCTATTCCAATTGCCCTCACCAGAGTTTAAGCAGACAGAAGCCAACCCTGGGTTCAGTTCAGTTCAATTCTGTTCAGTTGCTCAGTTGTGTCCAACTCTTTGCCACCCCATGGACTGCAGCACGCCAGGCTTCCCTGTCCACCACCAACTCCCAGAGCTTACTCAAACTCATGTCGATCGAGTTGGTGATGCCATCCAACCATCTCATCTTCTCTCATCCCCTTCTCCTCCCACCTTCAATCTTTCCCAGCATTAGGGTCTTTTCAAATGAGTCAGTTCTTTGCATCAGGTGGCCAAAGTATTGGAGTTACAGCTTCAGCATCAGCCCTTTGAATGAACATTCAGGACTGATTTCCTTAAGGATTGACTGGTTGGATCTCCTTGCCATCCAAGGGACTCTCAGCAGTCTTCTCCAACACCACAGTTCAAAAGCTGCACTCAATATGCCAGCAAATTTGGAAAATTCAGCCGTGGCTAAAGGACTGGAAAAGGTCAGTTTTCATTCCAATTCCAAAGAAAGGCAATGCCAAAAAATGTTCAAACTACTGCACAATTGCACTCATCTCATGCTAGCAAAGTAATTGCTCAAAATTCTCCAAGCCAGACTTCAACAATATGTGAACCATGAACTTCCAGGTGTTCAATCTGGATTTAGAAAAGGCAGAGGAATCAGAGATCAAATTGCCAACATCCATTGGATCATCGAAAAAGCAAGAGAGTTCCAGAAAACATCTACTTCTACTTTATCAACTGTGCCAAAGCCTTTGATAGTGTGGATCACAACAAACTGTGGAAAATTCTTAAAGAGATGGGGATACCAGACCATCTGATGTGCTTCTTGAGAAATCTGTATGCAGGTCAAGAAGCAACATTAGGACTGGACATGGAACAACAGACGGGCTCCAAATCAGGAAAGGAGTAGGTCAAGGCTGTGTATTGTCACCTTACTTATTTAACTTATATGTAAAGTACATCATGTGAAATGCTGGGCTGGATGAAGCACAAGCTGGAATCAAGATTGCCGGGAGAAATATCAACTTAGGGTTAGCCCATGATTATCTTCTTTTGCTTCTACAGTAACTGAGTAGTTGACAAACACTTTCAGGTTGAAAAGCTGATTCAAGAGAGGATGCAACTTCCAATAGCAATGACCAAAAGAGAAATCATTAAATTAAAATTGCAAACTTTAGAATTCCTTGGAAGCCCAAGTAGAAAACATTTTTTTTAGAAAATCATTCACCACTTGACCATAAAATCTGTTGTACTACTATTAGAGTGCTTTGGCCGTATTCAGTCCTAGGACTAGGACAGGCTCTTCTGTCCTAGTCTAAGCTCCATACCTTGAGCTTATTTTACAAAACTGTAGACATCCAACATCGACCTACAAAATTTCCACTATACACATTAAGACAAGAGTAAGTTGCCTCCTCTGATTAATTCAAAGGAGCATTCAAAGCCAAACAACAATGGAGAGACAAAGGAAAAGGACTGGTTACTGCAAGAGGTGGCAGAAAAGTGATAGATACCTGATATAAGAACCTGTTGACATTTGGGATAAAGATATTAAGGACATTAGGGATTTGGGGGCTGCTTTTGAATATGGAAGGGACTTCATTCAAGAAACATCAGCCTCTATTGATATTTGCCAGGTTCTCTAATGAGAAGAACCATCATAGTCGAGGTGACAGATTGTCCTTATCATAGGGCATATTCATTATATGGCTTTTCACTGGATCTGAGCCATCCCTGTCCTCACTCCCACACAGATTTAGTTTTCCAATGGTTCTATGAGTTGGACCCATTCTTACTCCCGTTTCCCTCCTCTTCATGGTCTGGTTACCTGGGGAAGCCTGATCCGGGACCACAAGGACAGCTACAGCCAGGAACAAGAGTTTAACATATCCTGAGAGGGATGAGGAATAATTCAGCAGCATACTGAATGTGCTAAGGAAAGTCAATTTTCTCTCCGTGTTTTATTGACTTGAGTACAGCTAAGTCATGGACAATAAATCAGACAAGGACAGCATGTTCTACTACCCGGACATAAGCCTATAAGTCAGCAATGCCAGTTGATCATCCAGTGTTTGGAGTCCTTCTCTAGACACCATCTGGGAAGGTGGAAGGCATTAGCAGAGGACATATAAGTCCTACAAAAGGCTATGGCATTGTGGAGACTATGGACCTGCTTTCCAAGAAGACTTTCCCACTCCTTTACTTGAGTAGTTGAGCCTCCTCCCTTACATTCTCACAGCCTCTCTGCTTCCTTTTTTTTTTTTTCCTGAGGAAGTAGAATCAGTTGGCATTAAGTATTTTTCTAATTCATCTTTATTGGATGGCACTGGCAAGTTTTAACAGACAGTGAGACCCCTGAAAGTAGGGACTGGCTGTGATTTCTGTATGTCCAGACTATGCAGTGATCATTTGTTGAAAACAATGAATGGATAAATTCATTATGGTATTCACTTGCAGCCTGAAAGACCTTAGGGCTTCCCTGGTAGCTCAGTGGTAAAGAATTCACCTGCAATACAGGAGACCCAGGTTCAATCCCTGGATCAGAAAGATCTCCTGGAAAAGGTAATGGCAGGATATTCTCCAATATTCTTGCCTGAAGAATCCCATGGACAGGGGAGCCTGGCAGGTTACAATCCATATGTTGAGTTGCAAAGAGTCAGACACGACTGAAGAAACTGAGCATGCATGCACGCTGATAGATCTTAAAATTGGCATTTCTCAGCTAAGAAAATTCAGATCCATTAAGTGGAAGAGAATTACCTAGGGTACACTTTGGGCAAGAAAGAAAAAACTGAGAGCTCTCATAACCCACTCATGGTCCAGGTCTTCGTAATTCCACATTTTTCTCCTTATTTCCTACTCCAGATCCTTGACATTAGCTGCTTCTGGCCCTTTCTTGGACTCTGGCCCTGAGTAGAGACCAACAGGAAGGTATGGAAGGAGGCTCTGTCGGGAAGTCTGCTTGTGAGTCCACTGGATTTTCTTTTTTGAGTCCTTGGTGTGCCTTATAGTTATTTTACAACTTTTGATGGATCCAGTGTTCTTCTAGTATAGTCTCTGTGCAGTTGGCAGGTATTAGGAACAGCCTGATGGGGCTCAGGAAGTCTGTTTTCCCTTTATATCCAGGTGGCATGTTCTCCAGGAAAGCAGTGAGCATGAGGCCATCCACTGAACTCTCACTGTCTATGACTATAAAGAGAACTTTATATCCATGACCTGGTAGAGTCCTCACAGAATCTCTAATAAGTAGATGGAGTTTGTTCAGGGAGCTTCTGTGGTGGCTCAGATGGTAAGGAATCTGTCTGCAACATGGGAGACCCGGGTTCTATCCCTGGATGGAGAAGATACCCTGGAGAAGGGAATGGCTACCCACTCCAGTATTCTTGCCTGGAGTATTCCATGGACAAAGGAGCCTGGTGAGCTACAGCCTATAGGGTTGCAAAGGTCAGCCATGACTGAGCGACTAACACTTTCACTCTTCACTTTTTCACACAGTGCTTAGACTGAGCTATGGATTTAGATCCAGTTTACCTGTCCCCAGAGCATATGTTCTTTCTATATCCCAGAGGATCAATGCCTAAGTAACAAAGGAAGAAGATATCTGTTCAACCTGAAAAGCAGTAATGGGTTGAAGAGAGTTATAGTTGTTATCTTCTGAAACGGCATGTTCTGTGCAAGCCTAGAGGGCAGAACTCAAAGTCTTTGGTGGAAATTGCGGGGGAGCAGCAGCAGCAGGAGCAGTTTTAAACTAACTGGAAAGATCTCTGATGATGGAAACCATCTAGAAATAGTTGGACAGTCTGGGAGAAGTGGTGGCTCCTAGTGTCCAAATGCTGCAAACTGAGTCAGCATGATCTCTTCTCTCAGATTCTGTAGGAAGGACTGGTATATTGATCAGCTGAATATGGATCTGTTTACTAGGCACAGTGTCTAAGAGGAGAAGAGAGCAATGTTCTGCCACTCTGTTTAGGGAGAGAGGCAACAAACATATAATGCAAGATGGTGACAAGTACTATAAAGAAAAATAAAGCAGAGTTAGGGATAGAGAATAATATGATATACAGTGTGTGTGTGTCTGCTTTGAACAGGTTATCCAGGGGAGGGCTCTCAGAGGAAGAGACATAGAGTAGAAAAATACCTGCACTGGGGAAGTGAGCCACATGAATATCTAGAATCTTCCTGGCAGAGAGAACATCAAGAGCAAAGACTCTAAGGAAGGAAGATACTGGGTGTTTTAAGAAGAGCAAAAAGTCAAGTTTGCCTGGAGTACAAGAGTGAGTGAGGGGATAAACAAAAAGAAGCTAGAATGATAAAGGTAGGCAAAGCTAGAGTATGTCAGGACATACAGGAATCTATTAAAGACCTTGTAATTTATTTGATATGTGATAGGGAATTGTGACTTACATTTTGAGAGGTCATTCAAATCTGAAAGTTTGCTTTTGTCTCTTTGCCTATAAGATGTCACTGGACAGAGGAGCCTGGAAGGCTATAGTCCATGGGGTCCCAAAGAGTCAGACACAACTAAGTGACTTCACTTTCACTTTTCTCCAGGAAAATGATGAAAATGTCTTTTAATTTCTCCAGGTAATGTATTTGGGCTAAATAAGTGTTTTCTGGAATGTTTCACTGCCCATGTACTGGCAGTATGTGTTTTACATAATTTTAATTTTAATACTCATTTTAGGAAAAAAATCACTAGACCTTGACCTGGTAATGTTACAGATAACATCACTTAAAGGGTCTGTTGGTTTCTACAGAAATATGAAGTAAACAATTCTACAGCCCATAAACAATAAGGAAAAAAGATTGCAAGATAACATATACACAGCTAAATTTGGGGCTACAAAATAGATAAAGAACATTATTTGGAAGAGAAAACCAAAGCCTAAAGAGGTCAGTCGACTTTGAAGGCCACACAGCTGGTAAGCCATGGAGTCAGGAATGGGACTTTAGTCTACCTGACTCTAAATCCACAGCTCTTTACAACAGAGAATATTGTCTCACCAAATACATAAATCTTCAGGCATTATGTTTTTATTTATTTATTTTATTAAATTTCTATTTTGGAATTGCTATAGATTGACAGGAAGTTGCAAAGACAGTAAAGAAATTTTGTATTTCTGCAAAAACGCTTTCTTGGGCAGGATATTTTAAGGGTTTGGAGGTTATTTACCACATGCTTGTCATGGACCAATTCTGACGACTTTTACAATGGGTAGATTTGGGCAACTACATGTCATAGGAACAGAGAGTAGACAGTGGTTACTCACAGAAACAGAACACAGCGTGGTTACCAGGGTCTGTGTGGAGAAGGAAATGAGCAAATGTCGGCCAGTGGCACAAAATTTTAGTCTTGCAAGGTGAATAAGTACTGAAGATCTATAGTTAAAAGCATTGTAAGCTGAGTGCTGAAGAATCGATGCTTTTGAACTGTGTTGGAGAAGACTCTTGAGAGTCCCTTGGACTGTAAGGAGATCCAACCAGTCCATCCTAAAGGAGATCAGTCCTGGGTGTTCACTGGAAGGACTGATGCTGAAGCTGAAATTCCAATACTTTGGCCACCTCATGTGAAGAGTTGACTCATTGGAAAAGACCCTGTTGCTGGGAGGGATTGGGAGCAGGAGGAGAAGGGGACAACAGAGGATGAGATGGCTGGATGGTATCACCGACTCGATGGGAATGAATTTACTCAAATTTACTCTGGGAGTTGGTGATGGACAGGGAGGCCTGGCATGGTGTGATTCATGGGGTCACAAAGAGTCGGACATGACTGAACAACTGAACTGAACTGAGCTGAGCTGAACTGATCTTATACTTCAAATTGGAGAAATCCCGTTTCTCCCAATGTAGCATTTTGAATAATTATCATACAATATCAAAACAAGGAAACTGACATGGCTACAACATACATGTATATTTCAACCTCATTTTATCACATGTGTTGATTAGTGCAAGCAATCAATATACAACTCTATTCAATCAACACAAAAATATTCCTTGTACCGCCCATTTATAGTAACACTCCACTCCCTACTTCCTTTGCATCCCTAATCCCTGGCAATAAACAATTTGTTCTCCATCTTTCTAATTTTATTGTTTTTGAGAATGTTCTGTAAGTGGAATCATACAGTATATGACTTTTGAGATCACTGCTTATAGTAATAGTTTGTACCTTTTATTGCTGCGTAGTATTCCATCGTATGGATATACTGCAGTTTATTTCACCATTAACATATTATAGAACATTTTGGTTGTTTCTAGATTTGGGTTATTACAAATTCTTACCGGCAAGGTGTGAGGGAGTCAGTCTCCCTCATCCGCATGTGGTACTGTCATGGTTTTTAATTCTAGCTGACCTAGCAGATATGTAGTACTACCTCATCCTGATCTAAAATTGCATTTTCCTAATTGTTAGTGATGTCAAACATCCTTTTGTGTACTTACTCGCCCTCCACAAACTATCTTTGGTGAGATGTCTTTTCCTTTCTCCATATTCTAAATGCTATAAACTCTGTATAGGAAGTTTTGTTGAATACTTGTTTGCAAATAATATCTTTCAGTCTGTAGTTTTTCTCCTAATCCTTTTTTTTTTATTCGTTGCCTCATATAGTTAATTTTTTCTTTTTTGTGGTGATGACAAGATCTCTTTCTCATAAAGTTGAAGTATATGATACAAAGCTGTTAACTATAGAAATACTGTTGTATAATAAATCTTCAGCACTTACGCATCTTACATAACTGAAGTTCTGTGCCACTGGCCAACATTTCCTCATTTCCTCCTCCACACAGACCCTGGTAACCAGTCTCTACTCTCTGTTTCTATGACTTTTGGTTGCCCAAATATACCCATTGTAAAAGTCATCAGAATTGGTCCATGACAAGAATGTGGTAAATAACCTCAGAACCCTTAAAATATCCTGCC